TCTTTCGGATATCCATTTAAGTTCGGATTCTGTTCGGATAAAATATATAAGCCGAAATATCGTAAAACAAGATCAATTTGGTATTTATGTCGGGTTTCAGATAGATTCGAGTTTATTTTGATTGGATCAGTTTTTGAGTTCAGATTTTTGAATTGTTTTATTTGCCCAACCCTAGTATCGGCTTCGGTCTTCAACAAAAAAAAAGATCCACAACTAAGGTCGGTTCAGGATATAACCTAGTAGAACATTAATCTTAAATTTAAAATTGAAAATATTTAAATTATTCTTAGTTTTATATTCTTCAAATCTTAGAACCCACTTCTGCTCGAACTAAAACAATCACTTGTTTTCGATTAATGTCGGATGTATTCATAAGATATTAATCCCACACAATGTGAGTCTTTCCATTTTTTTATTTATAAATTTAGCTAAATTTTTCTATCATTTTTTCTCACTTTTCTTCTTTTCATATTAATTTTATTAATCTAAACAGAGGAGACTTCTCTAGATTCTCATTGAGAAAATGGTACTTATAGGCTTCACATTGCAATTCTATAGAAGTGTTTGTGAGACTGATGACTAAAAATGTAACTAAGACTTTTTGAGACAATTTTTTACATAACGTTTTTTCTCTTTATTTTTTAACTATTACTTTTCTCTTTATTTTCTCACTATTTTAATATGAAAAAGTGATGGAGAGATATCAGTTATAATGATGTTCTTAGCCATTTGCTAACAAGATGAAATCCAGAGATATAGTTGATGGTCTAATGGTTTCAACAAGATTCTCACACATAACTGTCAGATGTTGCAAGTTCGACTTTCGATCTGTGGGATGGTATTGAAACCTCTCAAAAAAAAATTTGTTCTAGATTTTCTATTGCACTAATAATTTTTTTATGGATATTGGATTTTTCGGAATGAAATCAGTCAGTATAAAAATTTATCCACAATAGTTTTAAGATGGAGTATCTATATTTTCACAATAGAGTATCCACGACTAAATTAATAGATATATTTTATAGTATATAAAAACAAAGAAAAATACGAAGTGGTTCAACTAGCATAATTAAACTAATCATTTTAGTCTATCGATATGGAAAGCTGGTGAGCTACTACATTACCCTTATATCCGGACATTACTTTAAGATTTTCAAATCCTGAATGTATGTCTTGATTCTTGAACGTTGATTCTAATCTAAATAGTTTCCCTATATTCTTTAAAGAACTCCGAATTTATCTAACCACAATGTCTTGTTGGTGTAAGTCAAATATTAATTTCTACAAAACAATTTCTTCTCTCATTTACAAATACTTGCTTCAACAACGGATGTAGACTTCGTGAAAATAAAAATTTTAAAAGTTCAAAAAACTGTGGGTTATGTGAACTAAGACTATTTACAAACATGTTTTGTGTGAACCTAACCTAACGGAGGCAACAATTGATGGTTAAACTAAGGTTAATTGTTTGGCTAACAATTTGAATCGTCGGAAAGCGGAAGGCACATGGAAACGAAGACAACACGCCGAACCACTCATTGCAAATTCAGAACACAACTTTGCGATCACATGTTGTTTGAGTCCATCTTGCACATGCGTTACACGTAATGCTTGTTTCATCCCATCTAATACCCTTTTACAGCTATTAACTACGATTGAAATAGACAACTCTTATCTTACAAAATCGATCTTCTTGGGGATTCAGTTCCAAACAGAGAAATTACTAGAGTTAATGCTCATCTGAATCCACTAAATTGTTTTTTCTCTCCTTCCACGTGATTTTTCTTTATCCGTGAATGTTAGCATGTTGTATATATTTTGCATTTCAATGTCCATCTAACCCAAAAGATATATATTTCTAATCTCAGAAACAGCCATTGTAAATATGGGATACTACTATTGCACTAGTGTAAACTGTTAGAATAACTAATTTAGGAACTTATCTTTCTTGATAAAACAATATGTCTCTGGTTTCTGGCTTCTAGATTGTACATTGTTCCGGTTTTATGGTAAAAAAAACTTCTAAACAAAAAAAAAATATATTTTTGTTTTTTTATGATATGGCCAAATCCAACATAAATATTATCTAAAACTACATATATGGAAGACTCTAAATTTAGAAGAGAGGGGAATTTGAAAAACTTTCGACTAAAAACGACACCTAGAACAGGATTTATACATTGATATGTTGTATTTATGCTCTGAAATCTATGGAACATTACTTTAAAATCTTTTTGACTGCTTTGTTTTCTTTTCTGTTTTCAATAGTATCATAAAAACTTACATTATTTACGGCAACACAAACTATACATTCTACATTTTAAGTTTCCATCCTTCTTTCAACCGATTATATCCATTGGTTACTGAGCCAATCAAATAACACCAATTATGTTTTATACCATTTGGAAATGCATTATGATGGAAATATTATTTTGAATAATACAGAGGTGTTACAACAAAAAAATAATAATAATAATACAGAGGTGTCCGTTATATTTTAAATCTTGTAGCCAGAAATCACCTTTACCAAACTGCTTTTTAGTACTCTCATCATTTTCTACAGTCTAGTAAAATGATTAAAATCATTACATGTTTGTGGGTTAAATCACCACTACGTTGACTATGCCATTAAATCATTGAGACCGTACAAAAAGGTTTCCAGCACTTAAATTATTACTGTTTAAATTTTTTTTTTTTGTGAAAAATGTTAAAATTCATTTTTGTGCCTGTATCCAAATTATATAATTTTCTTAGTTAGCGAATGTCCTAGATGGAAAAAGCTATATACAAAGGCTTAAAATTCAATAAAACACAGCCAAATTACAAATTTTAATATATTAAGCTGGATGTTTAGCTGGTGTGTTAGCAAACTGTTTATATGCAGTTGTTATGCCTCTGGTTCTGTAGATGTAAAACTGGATTTATTCCCAAATTTTCTATCCATCATTCTATTTTAATTTTTAGAGTTGATTGACAGCAGTTGACGATGTTTTGGACATCCATTTTTATTTCTAAAACATATTTATAAATTAATCATGTTTTAGTCTTAAAAAACAAAACGACAGAAAAAGTTAAAAAAAGAAATATGTTAGTTTTTCAGAGTAATTTTTCTACAACTTTTATTAAGTGCTTTGAAAATAAATCGTAAAAAAAAATTAAAATTAAAACAGAAATCTCACAGTCAATTTTCTAGAGAAAAAAAAACTAAAGTTAAAATACCAACCAATCAACCCATTTATTTTTGTTGTTGTCTAACTAGTTCACAAACTTAGTGTTTGGACTCTAGCCAAAATTGTTTATTCTATCATTATTTTTCTTTTTTTTTTAATCCAGTTTTATTCAATGGCGAGTAACTAGGAATTAAACCTAAACATATTTAATTTATATATTAATAATTGATTTGAATGGTAGTCTAAAATAAATCTATTTTGGAATTAACTAATATTTTTTTCCTATGCATGCAATCAAAAACTCAACAATAAAATAAGGGAAAATTCCATATAAATACTCCAACTAAATTCTATTAAGCTTTTTAATACCCAAACTTTTTCACTATCCATTTTAAAACCTCAACTAATTATTCTGCCCACTTTAATACATCAACTTTTATAACTGTATCCATTTTAATACTCAAATTTTGTTTATTTTAATTAACAATACTAATAAATTTCCAATGAAATTTTAAAAATGTCTAAACTTCACAAAAAAATTAATTTTATTATATGTTTGAGTAACGAAATTAAATAAATTTTTTATAATCTTTAGTTTTGTAATAAGTTTTTTTAAGTTTTATATATTGAATTTAGTTTGTTTTTTTGAAATAAAAAGTAAATTTATTTTTTTCCTTCAAAAACTTTTTTTTAAAACATTAAATTTTCTACAGAGTTTGTTTACATTATTTCTTAAATCTTCAAATAAACTTAGAAAATTTAAATATTTTTTCTTAGATTTTGGAGATTTTTAAAAATTTCGTTTGAAATTTATTAGTATTTTTAATTAAAATAAACAAAGTTTGAGTATTAAAATAGATACAGTTATAAAAGTTGGTGTATTAAAATGGGCAGAATAATTAGTTGAGGTATTAAACTGGATAGTGAAAAAGTTTGGGTATTAAAAAGCTTAATAGAATTTAGTTGGGGTATTTATATGGAATTTTCCTATGCATGCAATCAAAAACTCAACAATAAAATAATTATTAAGGATATTAATATACTAGTAATAAATTATGATACATGTCCCTACTAATAATCCTAAATCCTCGACTGCTTAAGAGTAAGTTTTCACTTGTCCATCCTATAATAGGATTAATAAATAATTAGCATAACTGATCATACTACATCGCTGCACGTTATATTATTGACCGACCATTTTTGGCGGACGCAGACAATTAGACCCTGACACGCGCAAGGAACAAAGAATGTCATCGACAAACTGCATCAAGGGCTAACTCCGATATTTCACCATTGACAGAGTCAAGCCATCAGAATCTGGCCAATTCTAGACTGGCCACTCAGTGACAATGACAACTTGATGCTCCACCACCAGCCTGGCCACAAACTAATACAAAGATAGCAATAGAACTACTTTAATTAGAAACATACCTAAAATATATATATTTAAATTATTTTTTGTTAAAACCTATTCTGTAAATTTTCCAGAATTGTAATTCTACATATTGATGATGACCAAAGTAAGTAAAATCATTGCAATTTCTAACTTATGGTTTTAAGAAAGAAAAAAATGTTATAAGTTCTCAACTCAAAATTATTCATATGCTATAGATATTGGTTGCTACTGGTTGGTCACAATAGAGTAACTTATTACATTGAAACAAAAATTATTCCAAGTTACATAAATACTTATCAATCAAATAAAATGTTTTCCAATTTTATTCCAGTTACATAAGGGAAAATGCACACTTGATTGTACTTTTCATTTTACTGGAATAAATAGATTTATACAATTCCCTAACGCAAAAGGCAAAGAATACCATATTTATAAGTGTACGGACAAAATACTGATCTTTTTATATTGAAAAAAAAACGAATAATTAAGCACAGCAGCAGCACTGATATGGATGGACTAATAATAAATTTGAGTAAAAGATTCCTCTCAAGGTCCAAAACCATTGAACCGTTCATCTCTTCCACATAAAACAGAACAACCACCAAAAGCCGATGTGACATGTACTTGGCAAAAACTCCATATCAATAATCAAACAGAAGAAGAATCAAGAACGCCAAAGAAAAAGAAAAAAACACACACACATACACACAAAAGGTTATTCAATTTACCTAAAATGGGATTAAAAGAGCCACAATATTCTCTAAGTCAGAGGAAGATCTCTGTTCTTATAGTCTTATTGTTTATACCAGTTGCTCTGTTTCGAATCTGTTTCAACAACCCATTCTCAGTCATTGATGATGACACCACGCTCCAAGACTCTACCGCACACGTTGTGATCACTAGCTACTCTTCTTCATCTTCTTCTCAAGGTAACTTTTGAAATGATTCAATATGGTTTTGTATATATACGGATGATTTTAAGTATATATATATTGTGTCTATATGCAGAAGAAAAAACTCAAGAGAATTTTGATCGTAAAACGGAAGAATCTTTATGTGATTATACAAAAGGCAAATGGGTCAGAGACCATAAGGGTCCACTCTACAACGGCTCGAGCTGTGGAACAATCAAAGATGGCCAGAACTGCCTACGCCATGGTAGACCAGATTCTGGTTACCTTTACTGGAAATGGAAACCAAACCAATGCGATATACCGAGATTCGACGCTAACCGGTTTCTTGATCTTATGAGAGACAAACATCTAGCTTTTATCGGCGACTCCATGGCTAGAAACCAGCTCGAGTCTCTTATCTGCTTGCTCTCTACCGTCTCTACCCCTGATCTTGTTTACAGAAACGGAGAAGATAATAAATTCAGAAGGTGGCGTTTCGAGTCTCACAACGTCACGGTCTCGGTTTACTGGTCCCCGTTTCTTGTGGCCGGTTTAGAGAAATCAGGAAAATTGGACCACAACGTGCTGCACGTAGACCGTGTGAACGAGAGATGGGGTAATGATTTAGAACGTTTTGACACGGTAGTGGTCTCTGTAGGACATTGGTTTTTACATCCAGCGGTTTATTACGAGTCCGGTTCGGTTTTGGGATGTCATTCTTGCGAGGCAAGTAACTGTACCGAGATAGGGTTTTTCGATATCTTTCGAAAAGCAATAAGAACGACGTTGAAGGCGGTGGCAAGAAACCGCCGCGAGGTGATCTTGACGACGTTTTCGCCGTCTCACTTCGAAGGCCGGCCTTGGGACAGTCTCGGCGCGTGTAACATGACGGAACCGTACGAGGAGGGGAAGGTTCTAGAAGGTTTGGACTTGGAGATGAGGCGGATAGAGATGGAGGAAGTTGCGAGCGTGAGAGAAGCTAAGGGAGCGGAGGTGAGATTAGAAGCGTTGGATGTGACGGCGATATCGGTGTTGAGACCAGACGGACATCCTGGTCCGTATATGTATGAGTTCCCGTTCAAGAACGGTGTTCCGGAGAGAGTTCATAATGATTGTTTACATTGGTGTTTGCCTGGTCCGGTTGACACGTGGAATGAGATTATGATAGAGATGTTGCGGCGATGGAGGGTCTAAATGATGAAGGATGATGGTGGTGATATTATACATGCATATGTCAAAGGTGTAATCATTTTTATTTGAACTTTAGGTAGTTTCTTTTCTTGGATTAGATAAAAGCATGGGGATTATTTCTTTTTGGTGGTTGTTATTTTCATTCTTTAAACGATGGAGGAGAACAAAAGATAGTTGGCTTTAGTTAGATCAAGATTCGAGAAGCACATGCTTCATTTTCCTGTGTTCTGTAGTGATCAACCTCAATCACTAGATTACACCGAATATTTCAATTATCAGGACTTGCATACACTGTATGTACATTAGCAACTAGCAAGGCCGTAGATGGTATAGCTGCGTATATGATTACAATTTCACTTGTTTTTGGTTTAGTTTATTTTAAGGGCTAAGTATAATTCCACTTGTTATATGATGGACTGCGTCAAAAGAATTAAAATATCAACAGTAGCCTACTAATATACTTAGTTTTATTTATAACTGGGAATAATGTGGAGTTGAAAAGTCTAATTAAATGGCTAATTGGAAAGCTATTAATTAATTTTGACAATTTGTAGTGTCATTGTTTATAAGAAGACTTACTGGGCTCAAGTGGCAACTAGCAAGAAAGGGATGTGCGCTATAAATTAGAGAAGACTTGTGTTGTTCTATGCAATTTCGCAGGTGTTAATTTCTTTTGGGGGTTATGTAGTTGTGCAGAGAGCATAAGACCCTCAGATTTGTTTTTTTTTTTTTGTCTTTAATCTTCCACATATCACATATGTTATGTCTTTCAAGTGACATATATTTGTCTTTCTTGTGAAGAAGAGAATCTTTATCTACCCAATCAACACAAATCTCCTTCGAATAAAACGGTTTTTAACTTGTCGCCAGTTGTTTTTATTCTACTGCCACAGTGAGCTGTTTATCCCCTCTTGCCCCATCGAATACTCCAGATATGAAGGCTTGATCTGGATTGGTAAAATTCCTGCACTGTCCCCATACGTATCAAAATTATCAAAGTATAATGTAACCAAATATAAACAAAATCTTAAATATGGAACTCTCTAAATCCAAGTTTAAGTCCAAATTCAGCATCTACAAAATTATATAAACCAACCAAACTGAAAGTTAATAAAAATCGAAATTCCAACAGGACTTCCACAATCTATACTTGATGCCTTCCAACACAAACTCTATATATAGCGTTGGGTAGGGCTGGGCATTCTATCCGTTATATTTGATTCGATCCGTTATTCGTTTCGATTCGATCCGAAAATTCCGGATATCCGTAAACTTTCGAATCAAAGTAAATACTAAAATTCAATATCCGTTAAAATCGAAGCAAATCACAAATATTAAAATTTTGG